GGGTGTTGTTTTTGCTTTGGCTCCATCCCTTCATTCTTTCTGGAGTTATTTCTCCACTGATCTCTAGTAGCATATTGGGTACCTACCGACCTGGGGAGAGTGAAAAAGCTGGCTGAGAATTCAACATTCAAAAAAGCCAAGATCATGGCATCTGGTCCTATCACTTCATGGCAAATAGATGAGGAAACAGTGAGAAACTTTATTTTCTTGGGCTCCAAAATCACTGCAGATGGTGCCTGCAGCCATTAAATTAAAAAACTCTTGCTCTTTGGAATAAAAGCTATGAACAACCTAGATATCATATTAAAAAGCAGAGACATTACTTTTCTGACAAATGTCTGTATAGTCAAAGCTATGGTTTTTCCAGTAGTCAAGTATGGATATAAGAGTTGGATCATAAAGCTGAGGGCTGAAGAATTGATGCTTTTGAACTGTGGTGTTGGAGAACACTCTTGGGAGTCCCTTGGACTGCAAGGAGATCAAACCAGTCCATCCTAAAGGAGGTCAATCCTGGGTGTTCATTGGAAGGACTGATGCTGAAGCTCTAATACTTTGGCCACCTGATGTGAAGAACTGACTCCTTGGAAAGACAGTGATGCTGGGAAAGATTGCAGAAGGAAAAGGGGACAACAGAGGATAAAATATTTGAATGACATCACCGACTTGATCAATGTGAGTTTGAGTAAGCTCCAGAAGGTGTTAGTGGACAGGGAAGCCTGGCATGCTGCAGTCCATGGGGATCACAAAAAGTCGGACACGACTGAGCGACTGAACTAAACTGAAAGGAAATAAACCCTAAATATTCATTGGAAGAACTGGTGCTGAAGCTCCAATACTTTGGCCACCTGATGATGTGAAGAGCCAACTCACTAGAAAAGACCCTGATGCTGAGAAAGGTTGAGGGCAGGAGGAGAAGGGGGCGACAGAGAATGAGATGGTTGGATGAAATCACCAACTCAATGGACATGAGTTTGAGCAAACTCCAGGAGACAGTGAAGGACAGGGAAGCCTGACGTGCTGCAGCCCATGTGGTCACAGAGGCAGATACAACTGAGCAATAACACTGGGATCCCAGGAGCTGGATGCTGCAGGGCAGGGTGCTGGGAGTTCCGGGGGAGGGGTTCCATTGTCCCAGAGTCATCCTTTTTGGAGTAGGGAGTGTGTGTTAGTCACTCGGCTGTGTCCGACTCTTTGTGACCCCATGAACTGTAGCCCGCCAGGTTCCTCTGTCCATGGGAATCTCCAGGCAAGAATACTGGAGTGGGCAGCCACTCCCTTCTCCAGCGGATCTTCCTGACCCAGGGATCAAACCCGAGTCTCCTGCAGGAAGGCTTTTTGCCATCTGAACCACCATGGGAAACCCCAGAGGAGGAAAGTGAAGTGAAGTTGCTCAGTCGTGTACGACTCTTTGTGATCCCATTGACTATAGCTTACCAGGCACCTCCGTCCATGGAATTTTCCAGGCAACAGTACTGGAGTGGGTTGCCATTTCCTTCTCCAGGGGAACTTCGCAACCCAGGGATTGAACCTGGGTCTCCCTCATTGTGGGCAGATGCTTTACCATCTGAGCCACCAGGGAAGCCAGTTTTCTCCATCTTCACACTTTTCTACAATGGGTGTATCATTTCAGAATTTAAGAAAACATGTAAACTGTTTCTGTTTCGCAGAGGTCTGGCTGGAGTGGGGGCAGTGAGTGGGGTTGGGGGAGGCCCCTGGTGGTCTGTGGCCTCCGGGTGTTCCCTTGTGCTCTTTGTTAGCTCGGGGGCTTCTCTTCCCGGCTTTAGCTCACCATCTCCCCTGTGGCCTGCTCCAGGAGAGACAGCTGCTGGCCGCGAGGACAGGACTTCGAGGGACGGACTGTTTGGGGATCAACTGGCTCCTGCCACATCGGTGACCCATCTCTGGTTGTGCTTCCAGGCGAGCGCGCAGCAGGGCCCCTGACGCAGCCTCTCGTCTGACGACTGTCAGCCGCTCCTGCCACCAGCTTGTCCCAGGCCCAGGCCTGTCACTGTGCCACCTCTCAGCAGGTGAGGAAGTAAGGGGCCCTGTCCAAGAACGGGTTCTCTCTGGAGGGCAGGTGTCGCTGCTAGCAGTGCACGTGTGGGCCTGGGATGAGACGGGCTGTCAGGACCCTCGATGTGTGGCCAGGTCCTCATGCCATCACTGCATTCTCAGCCCAGATGTAAGGCCCTTATGAAGGGTGTTTCACCCCTCATTTCACATTATCCCTCGTGTGAGTGGGTAATGGGGGAGCAGCAGGAGATACAAGCTGTCTCCATGGGTTGCTGGCCTTAGCTTGGAAATCAAGCTGTGTCCTTCCCCACCTAGGAATAGAGATATTACTCAGGCTAGCATCCTTGGTCAGCTGCTTGCTATGACAAAGGGGATGTGGGGAGGGTGTGGGGGGCTCAACCAAAACCCACCCCCCTCACNTGTTCCGTCCCTTCAGGCCAAAGGCAATAGCTGTCTTTCAGAGATTTCCGGAGACACAGACTGCAGAGCTCGGCCAGCCAACACTTCACAAGGGTCTGTGGAGATAAGTCATGTTAGGGAGCATGGCTAAAAGGCACGCTGACATCCACTCATCCAGAAACTGTAAAGACCATCTTGAGTCAGGTCAGATCAGCAGCAGTGAGGATCGAAGCATCGTGCGCTGCCCTGCCCCCGACCCTGAGTTTACCAAATTACACACCACGAAGTGTGGCCATCAGGACGTCCCCAGGCAAGCTGTCCGTGTGAGTGTATCTGTGTGCCCGAGGAGAAAGATGCCTGACCACACACACTCACACACATCGGCACACTCATACACCTGTGTGCACACTCACCCCCACCCACCCATACATCTTTATACCCTCACATCCACACCTCACTCACCTACACACACTCACACACACCCTCACCTGCACACATTCACACATACCCTCGTGCCCAGACACTCACACACCCTCACGTACCCACAACATTCTCGCACACACAGCACAGAGTCCCCTCCTCCTTCTCTGCCCTCCCCGCATCTTCGTTTCTTCACTCCTGCGGATCCTGGGCTCAGCTTCCTCTAATCAGCCCCCTGGGTTCCTGCCACCCCCAAGCCCCCTAACTTCTGAAAGCCCCAAGCTGGTGATGAGGAAAGAGGAGGGTAGATTCAGAAATGGGGCAGGAGGATCAGGGCCTGAAGGCAGTGATTTCAGGGTCCTTTTTCCCTTGTCGGTTGGGCTGGGGAGGCTTGGAACTGGTCTGTATCTTCTCCCTCCTTTTGCGTGGACACAGGATGCATAAACACAAACACCCACAGGGGGACCGCCACACACACAGGCCGGCAGAGTGTGCCCATCAGGCACGTGGGCACAGGCAGGGACAGAGCCCCAAACACACATGCAGAAATGCACACCCGTCTCTGTAGAGGAAGGGGTCAGCGGCTGCTCCCCCAAGTTTCAAAACCCCCAACTCCTTCTCCTCCTCTTCTTGTTGAATAAAAGTTTGCAACCAAGAGAGGAACCCACCCCTGTTAACTCTAACTTTGGTGGCTGCCATGCATCACCACAGGCAAGTTTTATTTTTCAAGCATTGTCTGGGAATAAATGAAGTTGACGTCAGGCCTCATCTGGGCCAGAGAGTCATTGCTTGAATGAGGAAACCCAGAGTGTGGTCTGCACACCCTGGGACCGGCCCAGCCCCCTCACACCTCCCTGTGCACCTCACAAAACCTGTGAGACCCCCCTAGCTCTCAGGCCTGACCGCTTAGGTCTCCAGGGAGTTTCTCATTAAACGGGGTAACAGGAACCTATGGCGTGTGCTTTCCTGCAGAACAGTTAGCATCACAAGGGTCTTCCATGCTTGGGATAGGGGATGGAGGTGTGTGTGTGTGTGTGTGTGTGTGTTCTTATTTTAAAATAATATAAATTTTTTGGAATGATAGCAAATTAAAATGAATGATAAAGCAAGCTCTCGCGGGGGAAACTTGTGCTCTGCCCTATAAACAGCTAGGGGGCGCTCTGTGAGAGGAAAGAACCCTGACCTAGGCATCGGTGCTTTGTGTTTGGGTCCTAGACCAACAGGTCTTGGCTGTAGCACCTTTGGCTCTTGGCTTCATTTCTCTGGGTTTTGCTCTTTCTTGATGTGCAAAACACAACTCAGTCTGTTTTGCCAACTTTTAGAGATGCTTGAGGAAAGAGTGAAAGAATGTGTGTGACAGTGGTGGACTTCCCTGGTAGTCTGGTGGTTAAGGCTCTGCGCTTCCGCTGCAGGGGGCACAGGTTCAATCCCTGGTCAGGGAACTAAGATCCCACATGCAATGCAGCCAAAAAAAAAACAAAAATGTGTATGAAGATGATTTATTACTAACAAATCTCTGAACAAATGTCAAGGTATTCCTTATGGCTCTGGGGTGTAAGTGGAGAAGGAAATGGCAACCCACTCCAGTATTCTTGCCTGCAGAATCCCAGGGATGGAGGAGCTTGATGGGCTGCCATCTCTGGGATCGCACAGAGTCGGACACGACTGAAGTGACTTAGCAGCAGCAGCAGTGGGGTGTAAGGATGGGAGAAAGACAGGGGCTTCTGTTGTCAGGCTTTCTCAGCCCCGGCGACAGGGAGCGGATGACAGGTGGCCCCAGAAGCCCATGTCTTGCTCCCATCACTAGGTGACGCGCTCCTTCCTCTGATCCCAGGAGGGTGTGCTCCCATGGCTCCCCATCCTGGATAGAGAAGCTGCAGAGGATGGGAGGGGGAGTAAGTTGAGGGGGGCTCTGCTTTCAAACAAGCAACTCTTCCAGCCTCCTTAACTTTGGTTGTCCCAGGGGCAGCAGAATGAAAGAAGGCATGTCCAATAACAGCACCGCCAGCATCTCCCAAGCTCGGAAAGCTGTGGAGCAGCTGAAGATGGAAGCCTGCATGGACAGGGTGAAGGTAAGCGTTCACAGGCCCGCCTGCCCTCTGACCAGCACACAGCTCACGACAGTCCCCCCCGTGTCCAAAGCAGCCGCGTGAGGGTGAACGTGTCACTCCATTGAGCATCCAGCCGACACTGGCAGCTGTAATGTTTACAGATGAGTGTTTGCTCCGGAGTTCCAAGCGTGCCCGAGGAACCAAGGGATGCAAAATACACAGTGTGTGTGAATTCCATAAGGAGTCGCCTAGAATAGACCCGTGTTCATCTCAGCTCTCTTTAGCTCAGTTGTCATGCCCGTAAGCAAGTGAGGGAGTTGAACCATGCAATCCATCATAGTTTTCCTGCCTGGTCCAGTGACTTGGAGATGAGACAACATCAGGTATTTTGACAGGGGTGCTGGGGGAAGTGCCGCGTTGAATCATGTCCGCATTTGTTAGCTGCTCCCTGGGGGAAAGGGAAGGAGGGTGCCAGCCTCCTCCCACCATGTTCACTTCACTGAGGAGCGGGGAGGTGTCTTCACACTGGGGGAATGAAGCCAGCTTTTCCCCAGATGCCACTTCAAAGGGAGCAGGAGGCCAGGCTGAGCAAGTGGCCCTGAGATGCAGCTTAGTTAGGGTCATTGACTCAAATGGAGCTGGAAGTGCATCGGGCATCTGACAGCAGAAAACACCAGTCCAGTGTGTCTGTGCACTGTGGGGATGTAAAACCAGGGCTGTCACCCAAATAGGACAGAATCCGTGGGGCAGTGGGTGACTCCTAATGCCCTCTGTTGGTGGAGCAAGCAGTCCCTCCCCGAGGCTCCCACTGCCAAGACCAGATAACACCAGCTCCATCAGTCAGCTTCCATCCATCCCCCTCCCCAGGGACCTCCGGGTACCAGCTATCCAAGGAGGCAACAACGTGCCCAGTAAGTGACACGATGTATATGAAGCAAGAAGGGAATGTAGGATGATACACATTGGTCTAAGCAGACTGGCTATATCTGCACATACTGTTACCAGCTACAAATAAAGCATCTTTAATCCCTAGGCTAGAGGAGGGAGCAAGAAAAGAAACAGTTCTAAAAGAGGAGGAGCCCAGTGGTGTAGAAATGGGTCTAAGGATGAGCATTGCAGGCGCTAGTGGTTCAAAGACAGGACAGATTTTTGCTGAGAGGACAAGGACGCGAGGGGATGCACTCATTGGACAAAGATCCCTGAGCACCTGCTCTGCCCTTGGCATGGTCCTTGGATAGAAAAGCAAATGGAATGTTCCCATCACGTTGCTCAGAGAAGACTGCCCGGAGCCATGAGCTGGGGGTTGGTTGTGAAGTGACGTGCGGACGGAGAGAAGGCTAGTATGAGCTCATTGCGAGCATCGAACTTGACAGAGAAGCCGGGTGTTGTGCTGGGAAGGCAGCTGCGCACAGGAACAGGTCATAAAAACAGCTCGTGCGCAGCCGGGGCTGTGGGGCGCACTGTCAGAGGCCAGGGGGCAGCAGAGCTGCAGAGAGAAGCCGAGAGGGGAAGGGAGCAGGCAGAGAACGGGCAGAGGGCAAAGGCAGGACGGAGACACCACGCACCAGACGCAGCAGAACTTGGAGGGTAAGTGTGGTAGTCTCCAGGGCGAGAGAAGCTAGACCCAGCTGTCAAGTCCATGGCCAAAGGACTGGAAAGATGGTGGGTGCTGGTTTTGGCAGTGGGACTGTTGCCATGGTGGGGAGTTCTGGTTTGCCACGGAAGATGCTCTCCATGGTAACAGATCCTCTCTGCTGACCATCAGCACCCAGGAGCCGTGGTGGAGTCCGTGTCCCCATGGGGAGGGGCTCTCAAGGAGTCACTGCAGGATATGGCAGTCTCCCAGGGAAGGAGCGGAGGTCACAGGGCAGCTCGGAGCCCAGCATGCTGTTCGGGTGGTGTCGCGGGCCGGGCGGTCCCATTCTTGCAGTTCTGGGTTGTGGAACTGCAGCTCCTTGATCTCACGAGAGGCCTCCCGGGGGCCCTGCAGCCTCCACGGTGATCACAGGGCCCGCGACAGGTCTGGTCTGAGCTGGCAGAGCTTGATCCCTGAAGAGATGATCCGGGGCTGCCTGAGGACAGGGGTGGCCCCCAGGAACCACATCCCAGCCAGAGCTGCACAGTCACACGTGGTTTCCTGTTTGTGCTCGCACAACCCCAAACGTTAATTTTTTTAAATTGTGCTTAGATACACATAACATATAATTTGCCATTTTTACCATTTTTAAGTGTGTAATTCAATAACATTATGTACATCCACAACATCGTGCGGTCATCCATTTCTAGAACTTTTTTGTTATCCCACACAGAAACTCCACCCATTAAACTCTTACTCCCCGTCCCCTGCCCCCACAGCCCCTAGAAACCTCTCTTCTACTTTATGTCTCTATGAATTTGGCTATTCAGGGTACTTCATTCCTATAAGTGGAATCATACAATATTTGTATTTTGTGTGTGACTTATTTCACTTGGCATCTGCCTTCAAGTTTTGTCCAGTGTAGCCTGTGTCTGAATTTCATTCCTTTGTAAGGCTGAATAGTATTTCATTACATGTATCTACCATATTTTATTTACTTATTCATGTGTTGATGGACATTTGAGTTGTTTCTACAGTTTGTCTTTTGTCAGTAATGCTGCTATGAGCATGGAAAGCATTTGGGTCAGTGCTTTCAATTCTTTTGTGTATGTAGCCAGAAGTGGCATTGCTGGGTCATATAGTAATTCTCTGTTCAACTTTTTGAGGAACCATGATGTTGGTTTCCATGGTAGCCATATCTTTTTACATCCTCCTCAACCTCACTCCTGGGTCAGGAAGACTCCCCTGGAGAAAGGAATGGATACCCACTCCAGTTTTCTTGCCTGGAGAATTCCATGAACAGACTAGCCTGGTGAGCTGTAGTCCATAGGGTCACGAAGAGCCGGACATGACTGAGTGACTAACGCTTTTCACTTTCATCCCCAGCAGTGCACAGGGGTTCCAGTTGCTCCACATCCTCGCCAACACTTACTTTCCTTTTTAAAAATAATAGCCATTCTAATGAGTGTTAAGCTCACACTAGATTTTTAAGCACTAGACACCCCTTGCTTCAGGGCGCAGGAGGGCTTTGGGGAAAAATCTACTTGATACAACTTGGGGGGAAAAAAGATGTACATTGATATCAATTAGCCAGACAACAAACAGAATGTGGAAAGAGAATCCATCAAGGATACCCCAGGTTGACCATGATAAGTGCCTTGTTTGCAGCTGCATGCACTATAGCCCACCAGGCTCCTCTGTCCATGGGATTTTCCAGGCAAGAATGCTGGAGTGCGTTGCCGTTTCGTTCTCTGGGGATCTTCCCCACCCAGGGATTGAACCCACATCTGCTGCATTAGGCAGGCAGATTCTTTACCACTAACCCAGCAGGGAAGCCAGTAGGTGCCTTGAGGAGGGAGGAAATAGGAAGAGTGTCACCAGGAAAAAGAAGTGGCCTCTCTAGGGTGGGTGGGAGTCCATTGCAGGAGATGAAGAAGGAGAAAGGATCCTGGGGGTAAATGACAGAGGGAAGCTGCGTGGGAGGCGGAGAGGAGCAGTTCCTAGAACTCTGACCTCATACAGTGAGGGGAACCCCAGGCGTTCCCCTGTGTGCTGTGCCAGCCACGGAGCCCAGAGAGAGGGATGAACAAGGGGAAACAGCTGGAGGCCCTGTGGGGAAAATAATGGCAATGATGAGTCCCCCAGAGCCAGCTCCGGGTAAAGCACCCAGAGGACAGCCCGGGAAGGACACATATTGAGTGGGAAACCAGGGATGAGCCCCACAGCTCACACAGTGTGTTGCCAACTGCAGAACCCGCCTCCAGGCTTCATAGTTTGCTCTGCTTGGAACAGTATCTCGTGGGAAAGGAAGGAAAGGGTGATATTTGTAGCTCAGGGAAGTAAAGGGGCGAGAAGGGAAAAAATATGCATTATGCAGTTATTTGGGTTGCAAAGGTAGGAAAAAGTATCAGTGTGAACTCCAGAGGTTTGGACAGTTCGTGGAGGTAAAATGTAGCAACATCCACTTTGATCTTCAGGTCCCCTCTGTCTCTGCAAACATCATCTGCACAAAAGCACTGGTGCAATAGACTGCAGTAGACTTTATTGCCGATTTTGTAGGATGTAGAACGAAGACTTCGCCATGTAGCCCCCAGCCATCCCGCAAACCCCACATGTTACAGAGACCCTCCCCACACTCACCCTCAACATCCTTCTTAAACCTCGCTACTGTTACCAAATCAGATCCAGCTGATCACCACTCAAAAATCAATACTGGAGAGAGAGACAAATGTTGGTAGGAAAAAATGGCTTTTATCAGAATGCTGGCCATCTGGGGAGACTTGGTGTCACCTGGAAACCACCTCTGAGGATTCTGTTAGGCCATCAGAGTTTTTAAAGGGAAACAGGGGAAGTAATCTTGGTGAAGCATTGGGGTGGGGGATCAGAGCTGTCCCCCACTGCGTGCAGGCTTGTGCATAGGCCTGTTGATTCCTTGTGATTTTCCCTGAGATACTGTCTTGTTCACACACTTTGTTCTGAGATTCCTGAAGGTGAAGTTGGGAAGAGGTTTGGTCACCTGTTCATTATTTATGTTTCATTTCTATTATACTTCTTTGACCTATGGAGAGAACCCACAAGTTAGGCAAGATACCGTGTGATGAAAAGATTTGAAAGGTGTGCCAGGGCCTGAGATGAGTGGAGCATGAGGGTGCCTGGTTTAAGGTTAGTTATAAGACAAAGGGGCCCCCTGGAGACAGCTCTTTCTTGCCAAAAGCAACGTACACTATCTTCCTTTAATGTTTATTGACTGCCTCCCCTGACTCACCCCAGCATTCAGGTGACTCTTCTCCATCCCACCTCCAAGCTCACCAGGCCATTTCCCAGCAAAGCTGGGTGTTCCACTTTGAGAACCTGTATCAGCTGCTTTGACATGTACACACTACTGCATATAAAATAGGTAACTAGGGACCTCCCTAGCATGGTCCAGTGGTTAAGACTCTGCGCT